GTATGAGGGACATCTAGCAGTTCCCAAGAATTCTGAGAAGGGGCACAGCTTCTAAGGCTTCTTGGGGGATGCCACCCAGCATGGAAGGGACAGAGGACACATAAAAGTTTAGTCTCAAAGACTGGCTGCAGAGAAAACCCAGTGACCTGGGAAAAAACCCAAAAAACAAAAACAAACCTGCACAGAGTATCCCGGTAAATATTCAGGGACTCCAACTAGATGTTCATGAGACTAATACTCAGAAGGCACAGGGAGGCCCTGCTAAACAGCGGGGCTCCAAACTTCGAGTCTTTGGGGTTAAGCCTTGGTTCCGCCACTGACGATTTCTATGACCTTAGACATTTCACTTAAGTCAGCTCGACTTTCTCATCTGTAAAATGGGACTAACACTCTCCTAGAATGAAGCATACGAATATAGGTAAAGTTTCACCCAGAGCCTGGCACCGAGTCCCTGCTAAATTGTATTTCCACTTTTCTCTCCATTTCTCCAGGCTGAGTGCGTGCTGGTGCCCCTATTTACTTGATGATACGATGACGGTGCTCACAAGTTTTGCAAAAATGCTACGAGAGGGGGATGTTCTTATCATTCCTGCCCATTGAACAGATTTCCCAAGCCTCTGGGGGCGTTCCTTAGTGTTCTTTGCCTTCCTGTCACTACCAAACTCCTACCTATACTCCAAAGCCCAGCCTGGGTACACTCCCTTTTGTGACTCTCTTAAGCAGAACCAAGGACATTTTCCTCTATTCCCTCAGCTCTTTTTGTCACATAAAAGAGCTTTTCACACTGCAGTTAGCGTAGACAATTTACATGTCTGTTTGGCAGCTCCATAGGCACTGACTGATGTTTGCTAAATGTGAGAAAATGAGTAAAAGCCCAGCAAGAGTTGAGTGCTGATTCCTGGCTCCTGGGTACCTCCTGTGGCAGCGTCTACACAGACATTCACAGAGGGAAGAGGCGGGCAGGGCTGAGTTATTTCTTCCCTTGCACTCCTAACAGCCACTTTATTTGGGAGAAAGAACAAATTCCTATTAAGGGTATTGTCAGACCCGAATTAATTTCCCTGATCTGGCTATATCGGTCCGTCTCCATGCAAGGCTGAAGAGTTACCGCTAATGAAACACCAAGCCAGTGAGGAGCGGAAGCCCCCACCCTCTTTCATCAAGGGGAGCCGTTAACGGGGCTCTCCATCATCACAATTACTCGGGCCGCTTCCTTCCCTCCCCGCGGTGAAACGTGGAGGGACCTGCGCAGCTGACTGACTGCATGTTGGAGTGTTTTACATTTTTTCAGTAGGAAGGAGGAAAGGAAAAGATCCTGTATCTTAGCAATCTGGAACCGATGGAGCAGGATTTTTGGCTCCTTCATCAATCCTCCCTCCCTCCCTTTCTATTTTTTTTTTTTTTTTAATTTTCTGGGGGCAAGAAGAAGGACCCATTACAACCTAAGCTTTGGGCCCAGCTCCATAGAAGCAGCTAACAATGAACACAGCGAAGGTGGTGTGATGGCACCAAGAAAAGGAGGAGGCTGGGGGTTCTGCTCTGATGGAGCCCCTCTCTGTTGGCTGACCAAAGTGAGCGCATCATAGTCCGCTGGCACCGAGTGCACTGGAAGTCCTGCACTGCTGTTTCTAGTACTATAGATGAGGACACTGAGGCACAGAGAGGTTCCAGAGCTGCCCAAAGGCCCCCAGCCTGGAGAGGGCAGAGTGAACACTCACGCCCAGGGGCCTGGCTCAGTGCCTGTACCGCCCACCTACTGCATAACTGGGAGCACCCGGGGTGCACCCAGGCGCCTCTCCAGGGGGCGGGGGGAGGAGACACAAACCCGTCCCCTGGAAGAGGAAGAGCGGCACCCCTTGATTTTGGAGTCGTCCTTAGCTCTAGCGGGCTTTGACTGTAATTAAGTTAGGAATGTAAATGAGATTTATTAGGCTTTTAATTACTTTTGCAGCACTGATTTGCATAGGGACAATGTGCTAATTACAAACGGATTTTTTAACCACTCCTTTAAATCTGAGAGAGAAGGTAGAAGTGTACGTTGGCAGCATGTCCAGGTGACGGTGGGGGGCTGTGAGCCCGAGGCCCCTTCCAGCCCTGGGCTCGACCTTCCTTCTAGGGCCAGGAGCGCCGCACACGTCTGCAGAGCAGAGAGAACGGCATCCACACAGCTCCTCATCCCGGCCAGCTTCAGAGCCACTCCAAGGACAGCTCCACAGACCATAAAGCTCTTCTTCAATGTGTGGGCGCTCGCCGTTCCCCTCAGACCGCTGTCACCCCCAGCAGTGGCCATGGGACGCCTGAGCCCTCTGATCCTTGCGTGTGTGTGGTACCAAGTGCCACTGTGTGCCTATTGTCTCCAGCCCTGATGCTGTGGCGCCCACCTCCAGGGAACCTACCCCCTAAGTGGCCGGGACTGTGGCTCCAGAGCTAACAGAAGCATGACAGTCACAGGGTCCCCCAGAGACAGACAGCCTGGTGCTCCGGGCTCCCAGGGACCCCCCCCCACCCTTTCCTACTTACTAGTCCTCAGAGCCTACAGACAAGCCCCCCTGAGTTTTCAAACAGCGACACCCCTCCAAGTCCCAAATCCTGAACATCACCCATGGCCCAGGGTCTCCTGAATTAAAAGGGCAAGAGGGGCTTATGTCCTCCAAGTCACTCAATCCAGCAGTGAAGGAGGGGGCACCAAAATTTTCCTCTCTGTGAAAAGTACCTGACTTTCCTTCGGATTTGGGAAATTACATGAGGACTTAAAAGGTGATGCCTCCTATTGGGGATTCTCATGAAGCTAGAAGTAGAGAATGGCCCACCTTGCATCACCAGCCACAATGTGCCCTTGGCCTCAGCATGGGGTCTTCAGGGATGTGGACCAGTCCCTGTTCAAATGATGCCACTTGTTTCTGGTAGTGGCATCGTACAGAATTGGGAAATAGGGCAAGTCTGAATCAGAGTTGGGTTAAACAGCCAGACACCCCCTCGCCGGTCTTGAATAGCCAGGAGCAGAGTGAAGGGCAGAGCACTGTTCTGTCCCTTACCGGCTGTGTGCTCTTGGGCGAGTCACTGTCCTGCTCTGGGCTGCTTTCTGTTCTAGCTCTGCCATTTGGGGTGGGAGGTATGGTGCAGAATGTGAGGAGGCCACGTTCCGTGTAAGCAACTGGTCCTTCATCAGTTCCCAGTGACTCTTCCGGGGCACAGGGCTCTCCCATCTCTGAGAGCTGCCTCTTTGCCTCCTTTGTCATTCATGGGTCCCTACAGGGAGTTGAACCAGGGTGGCATCAGGAGCAGGGCACTGCATCACGGCCCCCTGAGGAAAAACCAGTTCAAGCTCACGGAATGCACCTACCCAGCTCTGAGACCAAGTCCTTGTCCTTGAAGGTCAAGGCCCATGTCCTCTGGGAAGCCTCTTGACAGCCTGGCCATTTTTCCTCCTTCTGGCCCCCAGGCCAGGCCTGCCTATCACCTAACCCTAAACATGCCTCCATCTGTCGGGTCTCGGTTTTGCCTCAGTGGGTCTTCCTTCCTCCCCAGCTATTGAAATGCAGCTCCCTGGAGCACAGACATCCTTCATCTGGGTAACTCCAGCTCAGCTCAGCAACGACCTGGCAAAGGCCTGGCCGGGGTCCAGAGCCACAGCACTCTGCGTCCTGAACGGTCATGGCTGAGCAGGTGCGAGGCAGGCCTCTTGTGGGGCTGCAGGGCTCCGGTCCACCATCCGTGACTGCTTTCCTGCAGTGGCTTGGAGGAGGAGAGGAAGGACGGACGGGAGATGGGAGGCAATGAGAGATGGCAGGTGTCTGGCAGGGCGGAGTGGTAAGGAGCTAAAGTAAAGGCAGGCAGCTGAGGCTACCTTCAGCCACAGCCCTCGCAGAGCGGCTGGCAGCCCCGACGGAGAAGCCCTGCAGCTTTCTGCTGAGCCAGGGCAACGGGCGGACGGCAGCCAGAGGCAGGTTTTGCCTTTCTAGAGCCGTCGTTCTTAACCACGGGTGATACCCTCACCCCCGCAAAATGTGTGAAGGTGCTTTTACAGCATGGGGGTGGGGGGCACTAGAAGAACCAAGTGGGCAGGGACCGAGACATTGAATGCCCTGACCCAATGCCAGCAGCGTCCCCACCCCTCCAACGAGAAACACCCACAGGAGGGGTCTGTCCTGAGTCTAGGGGTCAGGGTGGGACCCAGGTCACCTGCCACATGCTCTGGGCTGCAGGTGCCTCAGTCAGGCTGGGTCGTGAATGAGAGCCTAGCTCTGACTACAAGTGTACCCTCCTGAGCCTGTCATCAGGGGGACTTGCAGAGGGAAGCTGACAGCATGGCAGGCGCTGCTGTTCGGGGGTCATCCGGCAGAGCATGCAGGAGAGCGGGCCCAGCTCGGCCTGGGAACTGCAGAATCGTTGACTGCAGGGTTTGCTGGTCCTGAACACACTGAACACGTGCTCCTTCCGAGGCTGGGGCCGGGCAGACTGGCCACTTCCTCGGGGCCCGACAGCCTCCTCCAAGGCATTCCCACCCGTGATCCCGGGCTTCTCCGGACCCTGCCCCTGCACCGACAGCCCAGCCTCACGCAGCTCCTGCCTGCTCGGCCTGGGCTGGCTCTGTCCCCATCTGCTGGTGGGAGCCCAGCTCTGTGATGTTCCTGAGCCCTCGTGGGTCCTGGGTATCTCTGGGTTTGCCCAGAACCCTGCTCAGGAGAAACGGAAGGCCCTGGGCTCGGGACAGTTAAGCTTCAGCCTGAAGTCTAGAACCGAAAAGAAGAGGCAGCCCTCCACCAAAGGGACAGAGCAGCCAGACTGGATAAGACCAGCACTTTCAACCTCTGCTGTGATGGGGAAGAGACAGTGCTCCTCCACCAGGATTTCAAAAACAGCTGCATTTTAGAAAACACAGAATATCCTCCGGGCTGCTTGGTGCCCCACCCCAACCCTCCAGGTCTTCCACTGCAGGGGCACTGCCCAGTGCCCGCCCAGCAGCCCCCGGCCCACCCCGGAGATACACACCCACTTACCTGTGCGACAGAGTGGGTTTCATGGAGCTCATGGAGTTGAGGGGGGGCTGCATGGGGAGTTTCCCAGGGGGGTCGCTCTGGCGGCTCTTCTGATGTCGGAGCAGCAGCAGGCGGCCAAGCTCCTCACACCAGGAGGACAGCAGGGCTACAAGGAAGGATAGGATGGTCAGCCAGCCCCGTGGCCACCTCCCCCTGCTATGTCCGCCCCCACACCTCGCCCTCCCAGACTGGGTGTTTCCACCTTCGTGTGACACCAGGAGAGCCACCAAACCTCCTCGGGAGGCCTTGGTGTTCTCACCTGTAGAGTGGGACTGCCACCCCGAAGGAGGGCTAATGTCAATGGCCTGCACTCTGAGAAGGACAGGCCAGAGGTGAGCATGGACTCGATGGAGGGAATGTCAGAGACAGTGTCAAGGAGAGACCACCAGAGCGGGAGGGAGGGAGCCCACCACAGACCCTATGTGGGGCAAGCTTAGGAAGTGCTGGGTTCCCCCCAACTTCTCAGCAAAGCCTCTCGACAGTCAGCTCAACATGGCCTCTCCTCGGGGGCAGGTTAAGAGGGGCAAAAGTCACCCGGAATCCAGAGCCTTCCTGAAGCCTCCTGACGATCCCAGGAATGCCCGCAGGCTCCTTCCTGACAGTCCTCCCCGCCGAAGTGCCCATGCCTTCCAGTGAGACCTGAGACTGGTCCCTCTGCTGCTGGGCACCCACGCTTAGGAGGACTAAGGACTTGCAGGGCAGAGGGCAGCCCCGGGGTGGGGTGGGGGGTGCTAACCCAGAGTGCGCCGGGGGCACGGAAGGCAGAAGCCCAGGAGGACCTCCACATCTGGGCGTTGAGCCCTTGAACACCAAGAGAAGAGCAGCTGAAACTAGCTAAAGCGGTGCTGGGCAATGACCCTTCACTGTCCTAATGTGGCCGCCAGGGGCCAGAAGCACCCCCCCGGCCAGTTTGTCTGGCCAGTCCGTCCAAGCATCAGCGATTTGGGAAGGCTGGGCTGCCACCACTTTGTTACGTGAACCAAGAGAGCTCAGAGACCCTCTCTGGACCTCAGTTTGCTTAGCCCTGCCCTGCCCTCCTCACAGGGCTGTGGGGAGGGGTGCGTGGGGGGATTGCTGAGACAGTGTGGGAGCAAAAGGGGGTGACCACACTCCAGCCACTGCCCCATTCCTGCCATGAGGACTTTGGTCAGCCGGGTCTGAGAGCTCTGGAAGGAGTCAGCCCAGTCCGACAGACGCCAGTGGAAGCACAACCGCTCAGCCACCTGCCGGACACAGAGCCCACTTCCTCACTTCCAGGCTCTCCCACCTAGATGCCGTACAACATGCTTCTGTGTCCTTTTCTCCACATCCACCCTGCAAGATCCAGAATGCCAGCCGCTTGCCCCATTCGACAGATGAGCAGACTGAGCTCAGGCGAGGGAAGTCACTGGCTCCCAGTAACCACGGCTAGAGGGACAGACACAGAAGGGGCGCGCCTGCCCCATCACCCCAGTGGTGAAGCTCAAGCCAGAACCAAAATGTGGCAGAGCAGATGAAACCCTTCAGAAGGCAAAAACCGAGTGGCCATGGGCTCCAGCCCCACCGACTCAGCAAGGAAGCCCTCCGGCCTCGTCCGAACCTCCCCCCATCACCACGTTCAGCGAGTGCTGGGGAAGATGCCTTGCCCCAAAGAGCCCTGCAGTGGCTGCCCAGGGCTGTCACGTCCAACTGCCTAGATCTCGGACCGAGTGCCCCATTGGCCCACAGACCCGAGAGGCAGGGCTGGGACCCTCTGCCGTCCTGTCTGCCCCTGCCCAGGCCCACAGCAGCTCTGCCAGTCGTAGGGAGTGGTGGGTTCCTTCCTGCCCCTCACCTGGTGGGCAGGAGCCAAGAGGCCACTGTTCGGACCAGCAGGAGAGCCCTGTGCACACGGTCCCGCTGGCAGCTGCCCACGACGGTGGCGTACCTGTTCCTGGGGAAGCACGGGTTGCTGTGCAAGGGACGGGCAGTGGTTCTCCCCGGGGAACGGGGTCAGGGTGGGGTCGGGTCCTCTAGGGTTGCTGGGTTCGTCTGCTCTGCTTGTGTGCTGCCCAAAGACCACCAGTCAAGGAGGCCAGCAGGGGTTGAACACCAGCCTGCGCCTCTGGCCGGGAGAGCACCTGCTCTGCCTCTGGGAAGGGGTGCCAATGGGTGAGCTACATCTTAAAAGATGTGTCCTGCCCTTCTCTGTCAGGCTCATCTTGCCACCACCTGTCCAGGGAGGAGGGTGCCAGAGAGATCCCTACCCTGGCGGGTGTCTGCCCAGAACCGTGGCAAAACGCCCCTAAAGCAGACATCCAGCACACATCTGCCACAGCTGGAGGGGGAGGCAGCCTATTCAGAGAGGTTGGAACAAACAGAAATGAATTTCCAGATTGCTCCATTCTTCTCCCAAGCCCCTAGTTACCGCTTCTTGGTGGGGGGGGGGGGGGTGGTACTGGGCATCTGGAAACTCATTTGCACGCCAAGCACGAGGCCTGCCGGATCGCGGCGATGGAGGGACTGCTCGGCTGCCAGCACAAAGGACGGCCACAGATGGTGTCGCCCGCTGCCCGCGGATGCCCCTCCCAGCCTGCGCTCCTCCTGGGGGCCACCACGCCGGGTGGGAGCTTTCCTCCAATGTCACGGGCCACCCCCCTGCTTGGTCAAGGACAGCCCTCATCTGCCTATCGCTGGTGGAGGGGTTTTCCATAAAGGGAATGAAAGGAAGTTGGTGGCATCGTGGGTCCTGGCTGCGAAGAGCCTGGGACACGGGGAGCAGATGGGACATGTGTATAAGCCAGTCACGACATAACACAGATGCCAGGACAGCCACGGAGGAGGAGGGCAGAGGGCGAGGAAGGCAGCACCCTCCCCTCCTCGGCCCGAGCAGCCAGCTAGCACAGAGGCCACACTGACGACGCACGGGGGTGACGGCACGGACACAGGGCACGCTCTCTCGTGCCGCAGACCCCCACAAGCTGCTCTGACACAAAGGCTGGGTGATGACAGCAAGTGAGAGCCAGTCTGTGGCCCAACAGGGAGTCAGCACTGTCTGAGACCCAGGAGGACTAACAGAGGCAGGCAGGGCGTCACACAAGGACAGACAGACAGGCCAGCCGGGTGGGCGTCTGCGTGCACACCGCATCGTGCCTGCATCTGGGTGGAGTGGAGCATGTGTGCTCAGATGGGGCCTGTCCTGCCTGCACGTCCATGGGGTCCCATGGGTCTCTGCTCTGTGCCCTTTCTGCGTGGGAAAGGAGAGGGGATAGCCGAGCACAGGCTCTGGGGCTCAGGAGGGATGTCAGACATGCAGAGTCCCCAGATGGGGTGGGAGGGATGGGAAGGCACTGTGCGGTGTGCATGAGGCTGCCCGAACTGGGCAGAGCTTCAGGAAGAGATACCAGCCATCTTGAGGGGCTAAGGCAGGGGAAGGAGTGGCCCTCTTGCTGCTTGGACAGCCACCGCGGCCAGCCCTGGGTTGAGTTTGGGGGTACCACTCACCCTGGCAGTCTGGGTTCCAGTAACGAAAGTGAAGTGACCGTGGGTGAATTACGCACGCTCTCTGAGCCTCAGTTTCTTTATCTGATAATAGGCATAATGCTAACGCTCTCTCCATAGGACTGCTGGGCCCCTGGAATGACACTAACACCTACAAGGTGTTGAGAACAGGGTCTGGTGTAGTAAGCGCAGAGAGCTGGGAAAGCACCGCGTGTGCTCTCCGGACGCAGGTGAGGGTCTGCGAATGCTCCTTCTTCCCCCAAGCAGGAAAGCACCTTGTGAACAGGAGGAAGCCAGCCCAGCCCACTCCAGGAGGGGTCAAGGCAGTCCCAACGGGCACCAGGGCCTAAGCCGCTCCAGGAGAGGGTAGGGGAGGAGACAATGGTAGGAAGGACCCAAGGAGCAGGGGCTAAGTGCTCTGGCTCTGTAGTCCCACAGGTGATGGGGCTTGGGTCCTGTCCTGCCACTCTCTGGCTGTTGAGATTTCACACAGGCTTGGAGACCCAGTTTCCCCATCTGTGAAATGGGCTTAACAGAAACTGCCTGTCTCAGGGAGTGAATGGGAGCTATAAATTAGTGTTGTTAGTCAACTGCAAAGGTATCCAAGCAGAAGCCAGAAAGGGAGGGAGTGTGGGCAGAGGAACAAAGGAACCCTGTATCCTACAGTAGCCCCCGAAAAGCAGCCCGTCAATCCCACACCCGTCACATAGCCCTGGGAGAATTGGGGAGGCACCGGCTTTGGAACCGGTCCATGAGACCCAATCCCAGCTCAGTCTCCACCACCTGTCTGGCACCTTGAACAAGTTGCCTACCCTTCCTGGACCTCGGTTTTCTCATCTCTAAAATGGGATGGTGGTGATTCTACTCCCCACCTCAGAGGGTAGTCGCAAGCATGAGCTGAGCTACCATCACGCAGTGCGGGGGGCCACACTCGTAGGGGGCCGTACCATGTGTTTGCTACGGTGAAGATTAGTATTACTGACCTCAGTCAGAAGAGAAGCAACCATCAGGATGCAGCTTTGGTGTCGCTGGCCACATGGGACTGTACAACAGAGACCAACGACCTGGGGAGGCATGCAGCTGCAGAAGTGCCCAGGGGCTGGGCTGGGTGCGGAGTGTCCCTAACTCCCAGACCCCAGAGCAGATGACTAGGCCTGCCTGCCCCATTGGCTATGGGATCTGCCGAGTGGCCCCTATCACATGCCCCGCTTTGCCCGAGACACGGAAGGCAAAAATCAATTCCCCCTCTAGACGCAGTTCTGCCTTTGCTTCAGTCAGTGGAGAGGGACCTTCAGCCCCGGAAGGGAGGTATTCTGGCTTCCCTAGGATCTGCCATGGGCCTCCTGGCCCAATAGCCACCATCTTCAACGAGATCGGGATCTTGAACACCCCAAGACCCACCCCAGGGCACCTCACCTGGCCCTGTCTTGGGCCCTGGTATCTGGCAGCCAAGTTCCAGATGACCACGTTATAGGGGAAGCAGCAGCCTCGAGGGTCAGCGGAGCCCGGCTGGGAGAAGACATGATGGTTGACCACTGCCCACACTTGTCTCTGCAGGTTACCCAGGAAGCCACTGGGACACGAGGATTCCCACTCCAGACCCGCCTCGCCTCGGATTTCAGCAACTAGGGTCATTTGCCAACAGCA